GAGAGAGAGGGAGAGAAACATCAATGTGAGAGAGACACATCGATTGGTTGCCTCCCGCACATGCCCCGACCAGGGCCAGGGATCTAGCCTGCAACCAAGGTATATGCCCTTGTCTGGAATCGAACCTGGGACCCTTCACTCCTCAGGCCCTAACCACTGAGCCAAACCAGCCAGGGAATTTTCCTTATTTCTGAGAATAAGGAAATGGGACCTCCAGAACTGACTGAGCCCCTCAGGGCTGATGGGCAGGATAACAAGGACTCCTAGGGATGGGAGGTATATTCATCAGAGTCCAATCCGGAGACAGAAGCCACACAGCAGCTTGACTAGAGAAAGTTGGCTAGAAAGAATTCCTTACTTGTAATAGGGGATGGGCACTAAGGAACACAAAGCAGATACAGGGAGCGGGCCCTGCCCCTAAGGCTAAGTCAGGGTACCAAGGAAGGAGGAATTGGGAAGAGAGCCACCCCCCCCAAGGCTGAGAGGCAGATCTCATTGGAAGGTGCGACTGTAGCCCAGTGAATGGCTGAGAGGTTGTGCAGGCTGGAGCTGGCAAGCAGGAAAACCCCCACTGCTGAGTGGGTGTCTCACATGCCGCTGGCCCCTACAGAAGCAGGAGCCAAGGAGAGCAGAAAGGGCTGGAAGCCCTCTGGGACTCTCCAGTGCCCTCTACTGGCGAAACCTAACTCTATCAGTGGATTTGGAGCTAAGAGGCTATAAACTGGAAATTGACACTGGGTGAGAGAAAAGGAAATTTTAAGGCTGGGGTCTTGGGTATAGAGGTTTTGAAAACTGGGGTCACAAATATAGTGGCAACTAGGTACAGAGTCTTGAACAAAGAGACCCTCAGAAGTAGGGCCTCAGAAATGAGATCCCTGAGGCTAGGGTCTCAGATGCAGAAACCCCAGGGAGACAGGGTCTTATACAGAAGGATCCCCAGGCCATGAAACTTAGATATGGGGACTTTAGGGTTGGGGTTTCAAATATTGGGACCTCTGGTGTTAGGTTATCACCAGAGGGTTCCTTTAATGCCTTGGTCTTGGTCACAAAGACCTCCAGGACCTGGGTCTCAGATGTGGTTGCCTCCAGGTGGCTGGATTGGGAGAACCTGGGCTCAGGTCTTGAACACAGAGAACCCTGGGGTTATAGATGCCCTCATGGACACCCTCAGGGCTGGCATCACAGACACAGAGACCCCTGGAGTTCTGGTCTCAAATATAGGTAACCTGGTACTGAAATCTCAAGTTAGGGGGACCCCAGAGCCTGGGTCTCAGATGCAGGGACCCTAAAGCCTAGGTCTTGAATGCAAGTCCCTTGGGGCCTGAGTCTCAGACAGCAAACTTCAGGGCCTGGGTCTCAGGTGTGGGGACCTTTGACAGGGTCTTGGACAGAGTCTACTACTGGGCCTGAGTTTCAGACATGGGGGACTCCCAGGGCTTGGTCTCAGAAACAGCAAACTATAGGGCTTGCATCTCAGATGTGAGGACCCTGGAACCTGCTCTCACCTGTGGTGGCCCTCAGAGTCAGCGTCCCTTCACAGATGGGAGCAGATGCTGGGGAGCAACCGGCCTCATGCCGGCAGTCCCTCAAGGTCCTCTTTCCTCTGCCCCCAGAACTGTGCCATGATATTACGTGTCGGCCACAGGAAACATGCCAGGAGAAGGAAGGCCATGGTGTGTGCGTGCCCAACTATGAGGGCAAGTGCTGGCTGTGGGGTGACCCCCACTACCACTCCTTCGACGGCTGGAGCTTCGACTTCCAGGGCACCTGTAACTATGTGCTGGCAACAACCAGCTGCCAAGGGGTCAACACCCAGGGCCTCACACCCTTCACCATCACCACCAAGAATGAGAACCGGGGCAACCCCTCTGTGTCCTACGTGAGACTTGTCACTGTGACTGTCCTCAACATCAACATCTCCATCCACAAAGGCGAGGTTGGCAAAGTCCGGGTAAGTCCCACAGGATGGTCCCCTGAGCCCCTGGTTGGGCAGGAGGGGTCCTGCTGGCCACAGTTAGGAGCTCAGTGCACTCTTCACCTAAGCCTGAAACAAAACAGCAGGAAACAACAATTACGNGGAGCTCAGTGCACTCTTCACGTAAGCCTGAAACAAAACAGCAGGAAACAATTACAGCAGCAACATTAGCCCTCTGTTGGGAACTAAATGAGCTCACCCTTTGCAAAGGGCTTTAATGCAGGACTTCAGCATTTTGCCTTTTTCCAGAACTGCTTTGTATCCAGGCTCTCCATATGAGCTGTGTGATATTGGGCAAATGACTACTTGGCTGGCCTCAGTTTCCTCATCTTAGGAATGGGGATCATAGCAGGCCCTGCCCCAGTGAGGTGGTGCATGTGAAGGGCTCTGCTGAGGGTCTGACCCAGGGAAGCCACCATGAATGTTTGTGAGGGAACAAATGAGAGACCTAGAGACGTCAATGTGGAGCAACATTCAGGAACTAGAGAGAGAAATGGGCCGCCCTTCCTGCTCAGGGTAATGGAGATGCAGATTATTGGCAGTTCACAGGAGGAGAGTAAGGCGTGGAACAGGGTAGGCACTCAACCAATGATGGTGAGTGGAAGAGATTCCCAGATACACAGGGGTGCCCAGGGAATGACGAAGGAGGGAGCGAGTGGGTGAGAGAACCAGAGAAAGACCCAGAGAGAAGGACCAGATAGAGACCCAGAGAGAGTACACACACACACACACACACACACACACACACACAGAAATCCAGAAAGAGAGATAGATCTAGATGTAGAGAGAGGGAGAGACAATATGGAAAGGAAAAGAGGGAGATGGAGATCAAGACAGAGACCCAGAAAAAGAAGCAGAGGTAGGTTTCGTTCCCCAGGGCCTGGACTATAGCAGATGTCCATAATGTTTGTCAAATGACTATACGACATCAGTTGTGAGGAAGGCCTTGGCAGCTCCCAGCCACAGCAGGCCGAGGGAGGGAGGCAGAAGCCAGGCTGGGCCTCCACACCTCAAGTGACCTCTCTTTGCCTCCCGACCCCCCTTTCTCCCAGGTGAATGGTGTACTGACAGCGTTGCCCATCTCTGTGGCTGGCGGGCGGCTTTCAGTGATTCAGGGAGTATCAAAAGCAATGCTGACAGCTGACTTCGGGCTGCGGGTCAACTATGACTGGGATTGGCTGGTGGAGGTGATGCTGCCCAGTAGCTATCATGGCGCAGTGTGTGGGCTCTGTGGGAACATGGACCTCGACCCCAACAATGACCTTACCTTCCCTAACCTCACACTGGCTCCCTCAATACCCGTCTGGGGTGGCAGCTGGCGAGCCCCAGGCTCGGACCCACTGTGCTGGGATGAATGTCAGGGGTCCTGCCCAAAGTGCCCTGAGGACCAGCTGGAGGAGTACAAGGGCCCTGGGTTCTGTGGACCCCTGGACCCTAATTTAGGAGGCCCCTTTGCTGCCTGCCATGCCCATATACCACCTGAAAGCTTCTTCAAGGGCTGCGTTCTGGATGTCTGCCTGAGCAGTGGAGCCCGTAACATACTTTGCCAGGCTCTGGCTAGCTATGTTGCTGCCTGCCAGGCCGCTGGCATCGTCATCAAGGACTGGAGGGCACAGGCCTGCTGTGGTGAGTGTTGGGGTGAACAGGGCAGGACTTGGGGGTGGGGGTTCTGTCTCTGCAGGGCTGGTTTGGTTTCACTCCAGTCCTTCTGGGTCATTTTGTTTCTTTCTCTTTATGTCTCTGTCTTTGTTTTTGTCTCTTGGTGCTTGTTTCTGTGTCTTCCTATGATTGTCTCTCTGTCTCTCTATTTCTCATTCTCTCTCCTGTCTCTGTTTCTGTCTTTGTTTCTCTGTGTGTGTGTCTCTCTCTGTGTCTCTTGCTCTGTCTCTCTTGGTCTCTCTGTCTGTCTCTCTTTGTCTCTATCTCTGACTCCTCCCATCGTCTCCTCAGATCCCACCCTCTGACACCATTCTCTCTCTTTCTCTCCCTCCACTCTTTATCCACCTGCAGAGATCTCCTGCCCCAGCAACAGCCACTACGAGCTCTGTGGCCCACGGTGCCCTGCCACCTGCCCATCCCCTGCACCCTCCAACATCTCAGCCCTATGTGAGGGCCCCTGCACCGAGGGTTGCCAGTGTAACCCAGGCTTTGTGTTGAGCGTAGACCGCTGTGTTCCTCTGGATGGCGGCTGTGGCTGCTGGGCCAACAACACCTACCATGAGGCAGGCAGTGAGTTTTGGGCTGGTACCACCTGCTCCCAGAGGTGCCACTGCGGACCTGAGGGTGGCTCGCTGGTCTGCAAGCCTGCCAAGTGTGGGCTTGGTGAAGTGTGTGCCCTGCTGCCCTCAGGCCAGTATGGCTGCTATCCTGTTAGTACGGCAGAGTGTCAGGCCTGGGGTGATCCCCATTACATCACCCTGGATGGGCACCAATTCGACTTCCAAGGTACCTGTGAGTACCTGTTGAGTGCACCCTGCCCTGCACCACCTGCGGGGGTTGAGAACTTCACCGTCACTGTAGTCAATGAACACCGGGGCAGCCAGGCCGTCAGCTACACCCGAAGCGTCACCCTGCGTATCTACGATCACAACCTGACCCTCAGTGCCCAGTGGCCGCGACAACTGCTGGTGAGGAATCTGTGGACCAGACAGGAGCATGTATACCAGCCTTGAAGTTGCCTGGGAGTTAGTGGGCTGCCATTCCCCTGATTACCTGTCACAGGTTAGCGGGGGCATGATGGAAGGTTCAGAGTATAGGCCTTGGAGCCAGATGGCTTGGAGCAGTGGCTTCCCCACCTCTGAGCTTTCATTTATTCCTCTAAGAAAAGTATCTGCTGCAGAGGGTAGTGTGAGGAGCCAGTGACATCGTGACTAAAGATTATTATTATTATTATTAAAAAGGAGGGAGGTCATGTGCTCACGGTTCCAATGCCCCCCCCCCC